TTCAGTGAGAGACCCTGCATCAATGAGTAAGGTAGAGAGCAGTTAGGGACACTCAATGTCAATTTCAGCCCCTTGTCACATACACACCAAGACATGGGAACACATGTACACTCACCCCATACACACATGTTGTAGGGCTATAATATGTTTACTGCAACACACACACACACACACACACACACACACACACACACACACACACAGAAAAGAAAGTGTCAGTAAATTTGTTTGCTTTTTTCAAGATAAACTGTGCACTTATGCACAGTGGCACTGGAGTCTTGACAAGATACTATTTACCAGCTATTAAAATGATAAATCTCCAAAATTTACTGACTCATGGTTATAAAAATTACATTAGAGTTGGCCATGGTGGTGCACACCTTTAATCCCAGCACTTGGAAGATGAGGCAGAGACAGATCTCTTTTGAGTTCAAGGCCAGCTTGGTCTACATAGCAAGGAGTTCCAGGACTACACAGTGAGGCCCAGTTTCAACACCCCTTCCTCCCAAAATTTATTTTTACTTTATGTACATGGGTGCCCTGCCTGCAAGTATGTCTGTGCTAGAAAAGCGCACCAGTTAGAGCCTCTGAAACTGGAATTACACGGGGTTGTGAGCTACCATGTGAGTGCTGGAAATGGGACCCTGGGCCTCTGGAAAAGCAGCCAGCCAGCACTTTTTGTTTTTTAAGACAGGATTTCGCTGTATCCTTGGCTGTCCTAAAACTTGCTCTGTAGATAAGGCTGGCCTGGCCTCTGCTGTCTGAGTGCTGGGATTAAAGGCATGCACCACCACCAGCCAGCCAGCCAGCCAGTGCTCTTCTGACCCATCTCTCCAGCCCCTGAAAAGGAGAGTTTTTTAAAATATAGTGTAGGAGTCTCCAGACAGTAGTCATTACTTAAGATCAGGGTGTCCTGTGAGCACACAGGACATTGTCATGCTGGAGGTTTCTGATTTGGGAGAGTTTGTTATCAGCTAGATATGGCCTTGGTGGTCAGTATGACATCCACCCACCCCATAGCATCTTTCTGGTTCCTCACCATGCCTTGCTTCCTGAGCAATACCAAGGCAGCTCCTTGAGTCAAGTGGCTGTTCTTTATTTGTACATGGTGGCAACTAGCTCTTTTCTTTAAAACCATTCGTGCGTGCATGCGTGCGTGTGTGTTTGCAGATATTCCTGTGAAGGTTGGAGGACAACTTGTGGGAGTTGGTTCTCTCCTTTTACCTTGTGAGTCCCAGGATCAACTTCAGATCATTGCCCTCTAAGCCATTTCACTGACCTACTGTGTATTCCACACTGGCCTTGAGCTCCTGGCTTCCTGCCTCAGACACTCCAGTGCTAGGGATTGCAGGTGTGAATCGTTAGGCCCAGCCTAATGTGTATCTGACACTGAATGATTTGCCTGGCAATATGAGAAAGGCTCCAGTCCCAGGAAACAAGAGTTAAATGATGGCCAAGGAAGCACATTGATTGGAATGATGACCTGCATCACACACAGAAAGCACTTGGTAGCCCCCATCTCATCTTAGAGGTGTTCAATCCATCTTCATCTCATCTTTACTGCAGACAGGACTCCACAAACCATCTTCCACACCTTGGACCATCTGCAGCCTGTATGTGCTGAATGGTACCTTCTTGCCCATCTTTCCTCAAGGACACAGGGCACTCCTGGCTGAAAAGGTGCCCTTATGCTAATGTGTGTCTTAGGTTTAATTTCTTTTCCACCACAGGCGTTAGGCAGAGCCTAGAAAAGGAACTTCTTTTATCGGGTTGTCTGGCCCCTGCCTGGAGTAGAGATATAGTCAGTAGATCTAAAGGGGAGGGAAGGTTGGTAACACATGAGTTCCTGAAAAATGAATTCCCTAGCAGTGTGTGTGTGTATATGTATGTGGATATGTATCTGTTCAGACCCTCAGGTCTCCAGCTGCTTTCCCTCATGCTCACTGTGCACACCATACCAGCCTCTCAGATTCCTTTAGTCAGACACATTGCTCTTTTCATGGATGGCCTGGGCTACTCAAAGAGCTCTCAGATATGACTCTAAAAGCACAAAGTTATCCCCCCCCCCCAAATGAAGCAAGTTAAAGACTTGGGAAAATATTTGATAATCATGAGCCAACAAAGGAGCCTGTTGCAAATATGTAAAGAACTCTCCAAACTTAGTGGTTAAACAATCCAGTTTAAAAAGAGGCATCAAATAAAAACTTGCGGGGGCTGGAGAGACGGCTCAGCCGTTAAGAGCACTGTCTGCTCTTCCAGAGGTCCTGAGTTCAGTTCCCAGCAACCACATGGTGGCTCACAACCATCTGTAATGGAATCTGACTCCCCCTCTGGTGTACATGAAAACAGAGCACTCATATACATAAATTAAATAAATAAATCTTAAAAAAAAAAAAAAGAAAGAAAGAAAACTTGCCAGAGAGGACCTGTGTGTGGCAAGCAAACACTTGAAAAAGATGTTCATTATCATCAGTGCCATTAGGGAAATGCAGATCACACCATGAGATCAGGCATGCTTTAGAATGTCTGAAGTAAAGAACACACAGATGATACCCAGTGATGACCATAACGCCAACTTGCTGCTGGCGGGAGCACAGCTGTCCTGGAAGACAGTTTGGCAGTTTCTTCTAAAGCTAAAGACCCAGCAGCTCACCAGTTAAGAACCCTTGTTGCTCTTACGGAGGACTGCAGTTCCTTTCCTGGAACCGGACACCCTCTTCAGGCTTCCAGGAGCACCCACACATATGGGGCATTTGCTCACATACACAAATACATAATTTTAAAATAATAAAAATCAGCCTATCTGTCCTATAGCTTTGGCTGGCCTGCCTCCAAGCACTGGTTCAATAAAGATGTTGTCTGTCCTTTCTTTCTTCCTTCCTTTCTTTCTTTGTTTGGTTCTTTCTTTCTCTTGGTTTGTTTGTTGGTTTTTCAAGACAAACAAGGGTTTCCCTGTGTAGTCCTGATTGTAGATCAGGCTGGCCTCGAACTCGGAGATCCTCCTGCTTTTTGCCTCTTAAATGCTGGGATTAAAGGCATGCGCCACCACACTTGGGTCCAATAAAAACATTTTAAAGAAAAAGCTAACCACCATTTTCTTGGACTTGGTGCTTTTTGGTTTTTTTTGTGTGTGTGTGTGTTTGTGTGTGTGTATACCACATGCATGTCAGGCTTTCAGTAGATGTTTGTGACCCAGTGGGCTGAAGCCTAGGTACTTACCAAAAGAAAGGAAAAGTTAGCCAGACAAAAGCTCGCACATGAATGTTTATAGCAGTTCCCCTAATTGCTGAAAACTGTAGGTAGCCCAGGTGTCCCCTGGAGGAAGCAGGAGGAAGCAGACCACTGGGCTCAGCAGTGCAGAAGGAGAGCTGCTGTGCTGCAGTAAGGACAAGCAAGCTGTTAGTGCACACAAGCAGCCGCGCGGCTGAATCAGGGCAGGGTGCAGGAAAGAACCAGCCTCCCAGGCATGTGCACCACAGGCTTCGATAGGTGCCATTCTTCAGGCCAGGGCACCAGGCCTTGGGTGGGTGGAGCAGCTCCAAGGGATGTCAGCAGGGCATTCTGTGTCCTGTCTGGAGCTAGTTAGACAAATGTCCAGTGTTATCAGCGTGACTGCACACCCAAAGGCATCGGCTTTACGACGTGATTATTTGAAATAAAACAGACTCCCACACCCTGCTGTAGTAGCTCCAGGGGACTGTAGCCAGCATTTGCTACTTTGTGGGTTCTTCCAGCCTTCTCCACCCTTTCTTCGCTTTCAATCACCTAACTCTAGATAGAGGGAAAAAAAGGATAGGGAAGAAAGGAAGCGATTTTGTGTCTTTGATCTTAAGCTCTTTCAGTCTAGACTTCAGATGCATGTGAAAGGTGCTTTTGGGAGCCTCAGGACACACTGTCCACTGCTTTTTGGCCATGTCCATCCTTCCTGAGCTGCAGGATATAGAATGTATAGTTGAGGCCTGGCACAAGACCAAGTTCCCTGACATCTCGAAGAAGTGGAGCCTTACCAAGTTCAGTGCATGTGAACATGAAGACATGGCTGAGAAGCAGCCTGTCCCCAGTAACTGTGGGGTCAGACAGTCCTGAGTCATGCCCTCATGAAGGGTTTCCACTGTGCTGTCTCCTACCACTGTATCATGCTTTCTAACAAGCCCTACATTCAAAGAGAAAAGAGTACAGAGTCTTATGGACCACCTCCAGGAACCTTACAAAATTAGGAGTTGGGATATGTAGACCAAGACTGGGACTTTTGTGTGTGTGTGTAAAAATCTCTGAGGTGATTATGCAAAACATCCTGGTTTCAATCTGATGGGCTAGGATGCGAGTCAGAGCTGGAACCAGTGTGCAGAATGAATACACAATGTGAATCCCTGATTTGGTGATCCCAGAAGACTTGCCTGACAAGGGAAAGGGTGTGCTCAGGGCTTCAAGCTGCAGCTATTGGAGAAGAATGTGCAGGGGGAGAAATGGAAAGGGATACAGTGGAGGGAGAATGACAGACTGATTGCAGGCTGGAGTTTCCGAAGGCCAGGTCCCAGCGACCTTCCTGAGAGCCTGTGAGGGAAGCTGTTTGTAGCGATAACCCAGGCCGCACACAGGCCAGACACTGCAGCGAGCACGCGTTCTGCAGATGGAACCAGTACCCAGGGATTCCTTTGTGCTGTACAGTCAGAGCCTCTGTGGGAGGAGTGACCAGAGTTCCCTCAAAGTTGGGCTTATGCATGTGTGTTATACCAGTCTTTCGTGCTTTGTAGTGCAGCTCTCTCTGAGAAGCCATGCTGAGCTTTCCGCTTGGGAATGCTGCAGTTTTAGCGTTCCCAAGGGAACCAGTTTGTGGATGCACCATAAAGACAGGAAACACTTCTTTTCAGACAAGCATCATTATTTCCCAGACAAACCATCTGGTGGGCTCTAGACCTTCCTTTGTCCTTGATGGAGAGGCAGATGCAAGGGGATCTGGGGAAGAAGGTGGCCTTTCACAGTTTCCTGATGCTTCCCAGGAGCAGCAGCCGAGCTGGACAGATGACCTGCCACTCTGTCACCTCTCTGGAGTTGGCTCAGCTTCCAACCGTAGCTACTCTGCTGATGGCAAGGGCACTGAGAGCCACCCTCCAGAGGATAACTGGCTCAAGTTCAGGTGTGTGTTGGTATCGCTGTACTGGACAGAGAAAGTCAGTTCATGAGCAAGAAAAGATACAGTCTTGCCACTTGCCATGTATGAAGCTTGCCTATGGGAACTGACCACTCCTGTGGTCTTTCCTAATTAAGCCAGTGGCCTGCTATGGGATAGGGATGGGGGAGGCTGAGAGGGAGGATTCAGCAAGCAGGTCATTTCCGTAGTGAAATGGTGGCCACAGTGCGGGGACCCAGATGAGTACCTGAAGCCTTTTCTTCCTCTAGTCCTCCAATTCTTTTCCTCTCCTCCCCCAATCCCCAACCTGCATGCCCCTGGTCTCAGCTGCCCTCTTGCTCTCCCTTTGCCAGAAGTGAAAACAACTGCTTCCTGTATGGAGTCTTCAATGGCTATGATGGCAACCGGGTGACCAACTTTGTGGCACAGAGGCTCTCTGCAGAGCTCCTGCTGGGCCAACTCAACACAGAACACACCGAGGCTGATGTGCGGCGGGTCCTGCTGCAGGTAAGGGGCTTGGGCTGGCTGACTTGTGTGTCCTTGCAGTTATAAGTGTGTTCAGGGTGATATGGATTGCCTGCTTCTTCATCCTCTACCAAGGAACAGTTCTGGGTACAGTTCATGGTGATAGGGGCTCCTTGCCCCCAGAAATTCAGGACAGGCAGGGAACAGAAGCTTTGCCATTGGTAGCAGGACTGACTTGGGAGGAGGCATCACCAGGAAAGGAAAATGGAGGCCCTGTGGGGATAAGGTCCTTGACAGTGACCTCTTTGCTTGGGATGTGGTAAGGAGCTCATTCTCCAGTGCTGCATGCACATTTTGGAATTGTTCTCACTGTGCCCTACACTTCACTGACCAAGGCTGTGTTTCTTTTGTTGGGATTTCCTTCTAACCAGGAAGGCTTCTTGGTCCTTGAGAAGTTGGCCTCAAACTTTTCTGTTCTCTGTGGCCTCAGGGCTCTTAAACTATGGAGCTTTGCAGAGGCTTTGCCAGGAGGATGCCTTCTGCCTCACCAGTGTCCAGCAGATCCTGACCAAGGCCTCTTCAGAAGAGGTTGCCATGCCCCTACAGAATCAATGGCCAAGCACTCCCTGAGCCTGGTGCTGTGCTCTCATTTCACACTGGCATTCACATCCCACCAGTCTTGAGCACAGGGCCTGGCCCATGCTCCTGCCTCTCTGATTCCTCTGTAGGCTACATAAGTAGCACCCTTCTCCCATCCACAGCTAAAAGTCGTCACACAGAGGACAGGAAGGCCCTCATATGAGGCAGAAATGATATGTGTCACTCACCAGTCACATGAGACTTCCCATGAATGCCATGGATGTTACTCTCCATAGGGACATCTTAGCAGGAGGTGATGGTGTTGTTTGAGCCAGCCCTTGCCTTGCCCTGTGTCCCTTCAGGCCTTCGATGTGGTGGAGAGGAGCTTCCTGGAGTCCATTGATGATGCCTTAGCTGAGAAAGCAAGCCTCCAGTCCCAGCTGCCAGAGGTAATCACCTGTGTGTCCCAGTACTACTGGGTACCAGCACTCACCACCCATGGGCACAAAAGGGCCTGCAGCAGGAATCATGAAGCAGCATCCCAGTGGGGAGGCTGGGATAGGAGTGGGTGTGTCCATGTAGGGACCCCTGCCCAGCAGCGGGCAGCTTTTCTGCGAGGCTTATCCTAGGGTGGCAATGATAGGTAGAAGGAAAGACCTTACCAGGCTCTGTGATCTGGTTCAACCAGAGCCAGGGTATTACCTTCAGGGCATCCTACAGATATCTAGCCAGGCTCTGTTTTTGTTTTGTTTTGTTTTGTTTTGTTTTGTTTTGTTTTGTTTTGTTTTTCAAGACAAGGTTTTTTTATGTAGCCCTGGCTGTTCTGGACTTGCTTTGTAGACCAGGCTGGTCTTGAACTCACATCTACCTGCCTCTGCCTCCCAGGAGGCCTGGCCATGTTTTTGCTGTTCATCTGTCTTGCTGCTCAGGGCCCTTGCATGCTTTATCTCAAGGGATGGTGAGGGTTGGTAAGATGGTCCTGAGGCACCCATGCCTGTGATCTCTCTTGATGATGGTTTGCAGGGTGTGCCCCAACACCAGCTGCCACCTCAGTATCAGAAGATCCTTGAGAGACTCAAGGCGCTGGAGAGGGAGACTTCGGGGGGGGCCATGGCCGTTGTGGCAGTCCTTCTCAACAACAAGCTCTACGTTGCCAATGTCGGTGAGCCACCCGACCTCCCCACACCAATCTGCTTTCTGTACATGGATGCCCCAAGCCTTTTTCCTCCTTACTCTGTTGTGTCAATCCCAAATGGAAGGACAACAGGGTAGGTGTCCTGGCTTTGGATGAGTGGCATCCATCTTCCTCCTCCTCTTCTCTTCTTCTTCTTCTTCTTTATTAGTTATTTCTATGTGTGTGGGTATTTTGCCTACATGTATGTCTGTGTATTAAATATGTGGAGGCCAAAAGTGGGCATCTGATTCCCTGGAACTGGAGTTATAGATGGTTGTGGACCACCACATGGGTCTTGGGAATAGAACTTCTAGAAGAGCTGTCAGTGCCCTTAACTGCCAAGCCATCTCTGTGGGGGGTCTCTGCAAGCTGCAGGGCTGGTGGAATAACGATCCCACAATCCCACGTGAGGCAAGAAAGAAATCCAGTTCTACATGATTCAGTGGCTAGTGTTGGTTCTGACTTCTAGAGCAGCGATTTTCAACCTGTGGGTCTCGGCCCCATTGAGAGTCAACAACCCTATTAAAGCCTTTGGAAAACATAGATAGGTATGTATTTACATTACATATCGGTAGCAGAATCACAGCTATGAAGTGGCAACAAAGATAATTTTATCGTGTGGGTTACGGCAACATGAGGGTTGCAGCCTTAGGAAGGTTGAGAAGCGCTGGTCTAGAGTCTGATACCAACAAGTTTATTTTAGGCATACTGAAGTACAATTTGGAAAAGGTTTCCAAGTATAACACAGTTCCATGTGCACAATAAGGCATAATTACATTGGAACTCTCTTTTCTTTCCTTTTTGTTTTTTTGAGCCTGGGTCTCTGCGTAGCCCTCACTGTCTTGGAGCTCAGTTTGTAGATCAGGCTGGCCTTGAACTCCCAAGTGCTGGGATAAAAGGCGTGTGCCACCATACCCAGCAAAACTCTTTTCAGAGTGCACATCACTTCTTCCATGAAAGTGGTTCTATGGATAGGCTGTGTGTGTTAAGGTCTTAAGGGCCTGGGGGAGGGTCTGGTATGATTTTGGCTATACACAAAGCACAGAGCTTACCTATGCTGTTAACCACCTCCATTGCCAGCCCTCTGGGTGAAAGGCATTTTATATATCTTTCCCTTTGAAGAGACAAGCCTGTGTGTTCAACATTCCTGGTTTTCCTAGTGCTTATCTGTGAGCCCACGGAACCCTGTGCTCTCAACATCTCCAGCCCTGTGGCGTCTTCTTTTGAAAGAAGTTGCTGGGGGTAAAGTTGTCTCTCTTTTTTTTTTTTTTTTTGCAAGACAGGGTTTCTCTGTGTCGTGGACTCACTTTATATACCAGGCTGGCCTTGAACTCACAGAGCTCTGCCTGCCTCTGCCTCCCAAGCCCTGGGATTAAACGTGTGCACTGCCACGCCTAGCTCTGCTCTGCGTTCTTAAAAATAGCAGGAAGCTGGGTGATGGGGAATTTGGATTTAAGGCCAAAGGAAGGGCCATGAGGGGACCCAAGAACCTGTTTGGGTCCTTACATGTCACTGTAAGGACTCAGTAGCCATCTACTCATGTTATCCCTGACTCTTCCTTCTTTTCTTAAGATTTCCTTAGGGATCAACTTGCAACATGTCAACCATCTGATAAACAGTAGTTAGTGAACCTCCATGCCCCATTCCAGCCCCGCCAGTTTCTGTCTTGTGGACAGTCTTGATTCATCCAGAGCCCCTTATTCCCAGATTGTTTTAGAGCAACCACAGACACTGTGCCAAGATAATCTGAAAATTTGGTTTAGATCCCAAAGAAAAGGGCTCTTATTAAACTCAGTCCTGTGATCGCACTGTAGCATGTAGCCTGCTTCCCTACTGGATCAGCTGGCCTTGCCTGGTGATCTACCCGCATGGTCTGAGCCTCTGGGTGTATGTGACATCTGCTTGTCTTCCCTATAATATGTTTCAGTGGGTCCTGTTTCTCCTGCTTAATTTTGTTTGTTTGTGTTCTCTTTCTGCTTAATTTTGTTTCTCTGTGTAGCTTTGGCTGTCTTGGACTCACTTTGCAGACCAGGCTAGCCTCGGACTCAGAGATCTGGCTTCCTCTGCTTAATGTTTATCAAATTGTGCTTCAGGTACGAACCGGGCCCTTCTCTGCAAATCTACAGTGGATGGGTTACAGGTCACACAGCTAAACATGGACCACACCACGGAAAATGAGGATGAGCTCTTTCGTCTTTCACAGCTGGGTGTGTAGGGAAGACTGGGCCTGGGGAACTATGGGAACAGGGGCTTAGATTTTGGGCTCCCTCTGTTCCCTGCTTTGGTAGCTGGGTGAGGGAGGTGCATATTAAACAGCTGGGCCTGTAGTCGGGGCTAGGTCTGCTGCCGAACAGTTATGACTTGGGGACTTCTTCATCCCTGTGGCGGGGTAGTGGTAAGAGCCCCTTGGAGAATTAAAGTGTTTAAACACTTCCCAGAGGAGGACCTGACACATGGTGGCACAGACGGCAAGAGAGCAGGGGAGTGCTGCCATCCCAGTACCTCTGGAGCCTTGCCTTCCCTCTCAGCTCTGCGGACACTGCCGCCTTCTGGGTTCTGGGCAGAGGCAGACAGGACTGTGGTGGCTTGTGCTGCCCTGGGTGCAGGGAGAGGCCCGTTAGAGTTACTTCCCTCATTACTGTAACCAGGTACCCACAGAAGTAGCTTAGGGGAAGAAAGGGCTTTTTGGTTTTGTTTTGTTGTTTTGTTTTTTTGTTTTTTTTGACTCATGCTTTAAATGGATACTGTCCATCGGGACAGGAAGGCATGGTGGCTGAGCCTCCACCTGTGTGACAGGATTCTGTGACAGCTAACTATTAAATCTTAGCAAATTAGGAAGAGGAGTGGGGACCAGAAGCTGGTTAGCATACACCCTTCAAAGGCCATTCTGCAGTCCTCCTTCCAGCTAGACCCCATATCCAAAAGGTTTCAAAACCGTCTAGAACAGCACCACCAACTAGGAAACTAGGTGTTTATAGACACATGAGCCCATGGGCATGACACCTTCCAACCATAGCAGGGCCTAAATAAAGGATGTTCTGTTAGGATGGGGAACTGAGAACACTGTGCTTTCTGGTACGCTGGCATTGTTTTCATATTCATTTCCTGTTATTTTGTCCTCACTCACGATGCGTATGGATGTCCCATCCCCATCCCCTTTAAGCTCTACACTGGGGAGAAATGGGCCTACCAAATTGTCCTGTCTCTGGTAGGTTTGGACACAGGAAAGATCAAGCAGGTGGGCGTCATCTGTGGACAGGAGAGCACCAGGCGCATTGGGGATTACAAGGTCAAATATGGCTACACTGACATAGACCTGCTCAGGTAGGTGGCCATTTCTGCAGCCCCATTTGTGAGACCAGAGGTCCTAGGGTAAAAGCTGACCCCCTGCAGTGACAGGGGTACTATTGAAAGCTTGGGCCCAGTGAGACACTGTCTGCCTCCCATGAGCTGGGTATGGAGTAGGGCCTAGGCCAGCAGTCTTGTCCTGTGAGCTAGGCCCATAGGGTCAAGGAGGGAGCTGACCAAGTCCAGGCAGCAAAAGTGCCACAGGGCCTTCCAGAAGGATCCAGTGATAGCATAAGGTGCCTGTATGAGCGGGAACTGACAGACCTAAAAAGGGCTGGTAGTCCTTGCCTTGACTTAGGCCAGGTAGAGCTGGGGCATGAGTCATTCGTTTCCCTCCAGTCGTTCAGCCCTTCCTCTGACTGCTACTCGGGTCCCCATGGCAGTAGTGGTACTGGTGAGACTTTGTTGTGCCTAGTGTGCCCACTCCTTATGCATGGCCTTTCGTTCACCCCTTACTCAGGCCCTCTGAGCTGGCTGCTGTCATTACCCCACAGGCATGTCCATGGGAGGAAACTAAGGCATTCAGAAGGAGTCTGGCCAGTCATAGCGCTGATGACGGACCCAGGCAGCCTGAATCTAGAGCACGTGTCCTTCGCTGTTGGCTAGCTTGGGTGGGGAACATCTCATGAGCGCCTGTGTGGTGCCAGCCAAGCATTGTGTCACAGCCAGAAAATTCTACTAGACTCCCCTCCCAGACTCTGAGCACCCAATATTTGAAAGCTTAGTCCCTAATTTGCAGGGTTCTGTTTACTTTATTGGGTGGGAGGTTTTCGACAAAATACTTCAGAAAGGGTACATATAGCCTCCTATCTCAAGCCAGGCCTCTTCTACCCAGGCGCTGCTAGGCCCATATGTATCCAGCCCCCAGAAGTCTTTGCACACTCGCACGTACTGTGTGCTTGTGTGTGTCCAGCTGAGGTATACCCACAAGCTTTCCTCAGCTCTGCCCTCCCTTTTCTCTGAACCACTTTATTAACATCTGACTGACATGGAGGCTTCTTTAACAAGAGCATCTTGGTGTGGTCAGAATGTGTCATGGGCCCTCTTTTCACGAGCGGTATCTGTAGCCACGTCTGTCTCTCCACACTTGCACACTGGGTTTTTTTTTTTTTGGTTTGTTTTTGGTTTTTTGCGACAGGGTTTCTCTGTGTAGCCCTGGCTGTCCTGAACTGACTCTTGAACTCAGAGATCCTCCTTCTTCTGCCTCCCTGAGGCTGTGACAAACACTGTGATTCTAACAGATGGCTATATCAGCATCTACCTGAGCAGCCCCAAGTGAATGACACTCAGGATGTTTCCAGACTTTCCTCCTGTTGTTGTTTTGTCATGAATGTCCTCACAGGGCATACACACTAGAGTTTTTGACATTTAATGACTTGTTGACATTTAATGACTTGTACACACCTGCCCTGGTCCCACGCTGACGATGTACTACATGGGATGTTACTTGGAGTAGACACCTGTTATAGCAAGATGGTGGGCTTCTGCTTATTTCTAAATTCATCTTTATTTTGAAACAGGCTTTTACCAGTAACCCAGACAGACCAGGTCATGCCCGTGTTGTGATGACTTTAAAGTCATCCTCCTCCTGTCACGGCTGCCTAACTCCTGGGAATATAGGCGACCATCACATCTCCCATCTGACACATGGGCTTTTGAAAGATGACCTCCTTCCTAGATGTAGTGGTGGTCCAGGTTTGGTGGTCCAAGTTTGCCGTCCAGCACTCAAAAAGCAGAGGCAGGAGCATTAGGAGCCCAAGGTCATCCTTGGTTACATAGTCGTAGATCAGCGGAGGCTACATGAGACCTTATCAAAGAATAAATAAATAGAAGTAGCTGTCCTGAGGCTCCATTCCTAGCCAGCCCTGCGGTCCCCCCAGGCTTTGTGTGTCCCTGGAAACACAGTATGGAAGGGCTTTGCTTTATGGGCTGTCCTCAGAAGACAGGTCTGGTCTGCTTCTCTCTTGCCCTCTTAGCAAGTCAGATTTTTAGTATTTTATGTTGGGGTGCAAATTACTTGGGGGCCTTTCCACACAAAGCCCTCGCTTCTCTCTCCCATAGTGCTGCCAAGTCCAAACCCATCATCGCAGAGCCGGAAATTCATGGTGCGCAGCCTCTGGATGGTGTGACGGGCTTCCTGGTGCTGATGTCTGAGGGGCTGTACAAGGCCCTGGAGGCAGCCCATGGGCCTGGGCAAGCCAACCAGGTGAGCTGGGTGGGGACAAACAGGTGGCTTGGATCATAGCAGGCCAGCCCAAGGGCAGTGTGCTGGTGACCTGGAGCCTTGATTATCAGATGCTATCACCAGACATCTTTTTAGGGCTCAAAGCCAAGGCCTGAAGCAAAAAAGGGGAGGTGGGAATTGTACTGCCCCAGGGCTGCAGGAAAGGCCTAGAGCACTGCCAGGGTTCAGCCTCCTTTCCCATTTCCACTGGGGCCTCAGGCACTATCTTTCCTTCCTCTGTGACAGATTTTTCCCTCTGGGGACTGTGGGTGGGAGGAGAAAATTCTTCAGCCAGTGGGAGTCCCTTGGCTCTCTACACCTTGGAGATATAAGACAGACAGTAGCCATCAGTTTTAAGACGAGCAGTTTCCTGGGCTAGGCTTGAATGTACTATGTAACCCCTGCTGGCCTCAAACTTAGCATCCTCCTGCCTCAGCTTCTCAGGTAGCAAGGTGGCCTATGCCACAATGCTTGGCTAGCATTTGAAGGGCAGCTGCCTGTATCTTGAGTTGCTAGGTTACCAAGTTCAGGTATGTCCTTCTTTTTTGGGTGTGCTTCTTGTACATGTAAGAAGGTAATCTTTTTCTGCTTTGCTTCTTTCTTTTTTTCTTTCTTTTTTCTTTTTAAGATTGACTCTTACTAGCTTGAAACTAGTGATATTATCCAGGCTGGCCTTAAACTGGAATCCTTTTCCCTATTTCCTGAGTGCTGGGATTTGAGCTGTGTGCCATGGCACTCATTTCTGCTTCCTCCTTTTACTAAAGCCTGGCTCCCATATGATCCCTGTGCTCAAGGTTTCCCACCAGTTTATTTTATCCTTTATTCCAACAGCCTAGAGCACAGAGGACCCAGTGGTTACTTCCTTATGGACATCTAGGGCCCTGCTGAAGCCCAGCTTCAGCCCCAGGTTCGGGTTCTTTCCCTTACCCACCCCTTTGCTTCTGCTCCCAGGGGCTACAGCCAGTGCTCAGGTAGAGGACTTGAGTTAGTTCTTTTGATTTGTTTGTTTGTTTTTTGTTTTTTTAGACAGCTTCTTAGCATGAATGGCCTGGAACTTGCAGTGATCCCCTGCCTCTTCCTCCTTAGTGCTAGAGTGCAGGTTCACACCACCACACTCAGCTGAGTTTTTGATCATTCAGTGTGATTTTTTTTTTCCTTTTCTCTTTTGGTCTTCACAAATTGAGATGCCTTGAGATGCATCTACTAGGTGCTAGAATACACCAGACACAGGACTTCTTGGAGGGCAGCTCCTGACAAAATGCCTTGCATGTAGCATGGGTGTTTTATCCCAGGAAGAAGGCATAACCACAGCCTTTGCCGTGTGTTTCTTAGCAGTCCTGAGTGCCCTTGCACCGTACATTATATAACTCCCAGTAATAACCCACTGAGGTGGATGCTGTGCATTTAGAGGTGTGGGAGCCAGCAGAGAGATCACAAGGTCCCACATCTTTTCTAAACAGTGTTTTCTAGAAGGATTACCCTGAACAGCTAGAGAAGCTCAGATTACAGTTTGACTGGTAGAGACTTCCTTCACCTGCTGGGCTAGTGATCTCTTTAAGTCTCCTGAACAGGGCTGTGGAATTTTGATCTCTTCCCCTGGATCATCCTGCATTCCTCCTCAAATTCTCCTTCCACACCCCACAGGAGATTGCAGCAATGATTGACACTGAATTTGCTAAGCAGACCTCCCTGGATGCAGTGGCCCAGGCTGTGGTCGACCGTGTAAAACGTATCCACAGTGACACCTTTGCCAGCGGTGGGGAGCGTGCCAAGTTCTGCCCACGGCATGAAGACATGACCCTGCTGGTGAGGAACTTTGGCTATCCATTGGGTGAAATGAGCCAGCCTACACCGGCCCCAGCCCCAGGTACGTGTGCCATGTCCTATACAGGCAGGAGCATCTGAGATGAGTCCTGGCCTGGAGGCAGTGCAGGGTGGCTGGTAAGATGAGCTCTCTGCTTGGAATGCAGATGGAGCTTACAGACTCTGAGCTGCAAGTCTCTCTTCCTTTTGTCTGTGAAATGGGGGTGGGATTGCTTGCCCTGGCCTCCCCTAAAGCCTTGCTGCATGAGCATATCACGAACAGTCACAAAGGCAGGTAGCAGAGGTGGTAGCTGCCACTATCAATGGTAGAGTTTCCTCCCAGCCTGGGCCAGCCAGGAGTGTGGTCACTGCTCACCCTCACTAGCAACCCTAACAAGGAGATAGGATCTAGCATCAGGGGGCCTGGATGAGGTCCTGTGTGGGGACAGATGGTCCACCCCAGAACCTGGCCCAATGTCTGACCCCTTTGGGCAGAGGAGACATTTCATTTTTTTCCTTTTTAGTCCTTGAATGAAGTTGCTTGGGAAGAGCTGAGAACTTGAGTACTGGTTTCCAGGGTTGCATTTCCCTTTCTGTTTTCAAACAGGCAAACCCTGCAGGTTCCACTTCCACAGGGGTTTGCTCGCCCATGGACACCTGGGTGCTAGAGTCCTGTTGCCAGTGTTTGGCTACTTTGTGGGTTCCTCTTTCTTCCTCCCTTCTCCATTCCTTTTCTTCCACGCTTTCAACACCCTAATACTGGGTAGGAGAGAAAAAAAGGATAGAGAGGAAAGGGTTTAATGTTAGCATTAGACTACTTCCTGCTGATCAGGGGCATCGTGCTCCTTGGGGCAAGTTTAATCTTTATCATTAGGATATCTAATTTCTTCTTTTTTCTTCTTTGTACATGACTGCTTAACAGACTGAAACCAGCTAACAACCACTGACCACACTTTGGGGGCCCTAGCATTTATATACCCTCTGAAAAGTCCCCAGAATTCCCAAAGGTTACACAACTGCAGAAAATATCTGCAGCTGGCAAAATCATGTTTCTGCTAGAATATGAGGTAAATCATAGTCACCTGCTGTGAAGTAAGTGCTCACTCCTGAGATTAAAATGAAAACATATTCTTATAATAGTTCTGTGATTTTAAAGAAACCAAAGTTATCACTGCAGAGTCCTTCTGGCCTGTTATTGCAACCATATTTTCTTTCTTTTTTTTTTTTAAGATTTATTTTTATTATGTATACAGTGTCCTGCCTGCATGTATACCAGCACACCAGAAGAGGGCACCAGATATCATTATAGATGGTTGTGAGCCACCATGTGGTTGCTGGGAATTGAACTCAGGACCTTTGGAAGAGCAGCCAGTACTCTTAACCTCTGAGCCATCTCTCCAGCCCACAACCATATTTTCACTGGGCCAGCCTCAACTAGAGACAAATTACCCTCTGGATTAAGGCATCCATGCAAAGCCAGGCAGTGACTTTTTCAGTGAAGCCATGCAGCATTTGATCCATTCCTGCTTTGATCCCCAATGGGTTTCCTTGCTGGAGGGAAGTCACACTGCTGTTCTGGAAGAAGAGATTTTACCAAGGGACATCTACGCTGGGCCACCCCAAGGATAGAGGACCACACTGGGGCTTTAGGGCCCTCTCAGCCTCACATAGCCCTTGTCACTCAAGAGCAACCTTGAGCCCACAGCCCTGTTTCCTTCCAGACTGATTTCTACTCCTTGTTTTCTCTTTCTCTCTCCTGTTGCAGGGGGGCGTGTGTATCCTGTTTCTGTGCCATACTCAAGTGCCCAGAGCACCAGCAAGACCAGTGTGACTCTGTCCCTCGTCATGCCTTCTCAGGGCCAGATGGTCAATGGCTCTCACAGTGCCTCCACCCTGGACGAAGCCACTCCTACCCTCACTAAGTAAGCTGTCATACTCTAGAGACAGTCTTGGGCACCTGCACAGAGGCAGCTGTTTAGCCAAGTCCTAGGGTTCAGTGGGGTGGGATGAGAGAGGCCCTGGGGTCCCTTGGGCTTTTCCAGTTCCCCACCTCCATCTTTGGGATAGGGAGTCTCATTAGAGACAGGTAGGAAGGAGCAGTGCCATCAGTTCTAGCAAGTGTTGAAACTGGACCTGGGGCCAGGGTGGACAAGGAGGCCTGAGAAAGGAACAACGCTGCTGGCTAGCGGTGTCTCAGGCCAGCTTTCGTCCATGGGCAACTTCTCTGGTTTTTTTCTTCTGTTTCGGAACTTGTAACATAGGGTCACTGGCTTCATGCATCTGTAGTTGAGGAACATTGCCTGGCCTGTACTGGCTCCTCAGACATGCTGTTCTCTCACTGTGACATGCCATCTCTGTCCACTGTCTAGTTTAAGGGGCACTGATAGTGGAGGTCACGGCCTCAGGGGAGGGGCATGAGAGCGAGACCTGCTTGACAGGTCTGTTGTCCACCCCACCCCCTTCATTTCTGTGAATGTGCACCCTGACCCTACCCCACCTCTCCAGGGGGATCTGGTTTCTACATTCCAGCCCTGCACTGATGGAATAATACAGATGCCACACCCAGCCCCTCCACACAGATGGAGCTTAGCCGGATGTGGCCAATTAGAAGGGCTGGCAGGGAAGGAGTGTCCCTGTTTTCCTCTGCCTCTTGAGAGGGCCTCCCTTCTCCTGTCCCCAAGTCTTTGCTGTTGCTGTTCCTGCCACCACCTCTGTGTATGGAAGGGGCTGGTAGACATCTGGGCACCATGGGTAGCAGTGTTTTGTCCCCAGCACTATCAGTGTAGCCTCTCCTTCCCACCAGGCTACCCCAGGAAACCACCAGCTGTGTCCACAAAGCTGACCAGGCAAGACCTCATGCTTCTCTCTCTGACTGCCCGAGCCTCACAGAATCTCCTCCTGCCCTGGCTCAGAGCCTTGTTCTGTCACCTAGGCCAGCCTTGAGCTGGTTCATGACAGGTCAGAGCTATCAGGGTAACAAGCTAATGGATAGCTCCTTGAAGAAAGATGGGCTGTTGGTGGATCAAGCAGTGGATTAGCATGCATGAACTCCCAGGTTCAGTCCCCAATAGTGTCCTGCTACCATAGGCTTCTGTGGCAATACTCTGGGCTGAAGAGCTCAGTGGTAAAGAGCACTTGCTGCTCTTGCAGAGGACCTGAGTGGTTCCAAGCACCCACATCAGGTAGCACCCACACTTGTAGCTCCAATTCCAAGTGGTCTGATGCTGCCTCCTAGCTTCTAATGGGCACCCCTGCACACATACAGAAAAGGGGGGAAATAGATGTCTGAAGGCTGTTCATAAATGTTAGTGATCTGTCACTTAGGAGAGTTAGGCAGGAGGATCAAGAGTTCCTGCGCAGTCTGGGCTACATAGCAAGACTCTCTCAAAAAACAAAACAAAACTGCCATTTTGTTTATCTCTAAAAACATCCCACCCGGCTGGCTTTTTTTACGGGATCTTTGCCAGAGAGGCCTGAGGTTAAAGGGCCACTCTTGTCACCAGGTTGGAGGGTGAGGTCCTCTGATGCGGCTACCCCAGACTGATACCCTCCACTCTTCCTCTGCAGCCAGAGCCCCACTCTGACCCTGCAGTCCACCAATACACACACGCAGAGCAGCAGCTCCAGCTCTGACGGGGGCCTCTTCCGCTCCAGACCCGCTCACTCACTTCCTCCTGGAGAGGATGGCCGCGTTGAGCCCTATGTGGACTTTGCTGAGTTTTACCGACTCTGGAGTGTGGACCACGGCGAGCAGAGCGTGATGACAGCACCTTAGTCTGGCCTCAGAGTACGGCCTTGGCATGACTTTGTGTAGGCACAGAAGGCTAGTGCCAAGGCAGGACAAGCTCCTTGACCTTTGCAGGTGCCGTGGAACCAGTGGGCAGTGAGTCTGATGTGCTGCAGGTTCTGTCCCACAGCACTGGATTGTAGCCTGAGTGCACACTGCATTGTTGGTCCACACAGGAGGCAGGAGTCCAGACCACAGGCATCCTTAGAGAGGGCCAAGTGTGAAAGCTGCAGGTAGCTTATAAACCATCAAGAGTGCCTCCTGACATATCCAAAGAATAGCAAGAATCTGTCCTGTGGACTCCAACTACCACAGGCTAGACAGACATTGCTCCCTCAAGACTGCTTTTCCTGCCTCAACCTCCCCTGGAATAGCCTGTGACCTATGCTAGTGTCCTTTGCACCGGATGGCTATTACCTTCCCAACTTTCAGCCTAAACTCCTAGATCCAGAGAAGAAAACAATGAGGGTGTGTGCCTGTCACTGGTTCTCACTGGACAAGTTCAAGGAAGCAGTGGGACCTGTAACAACCACAGGGGAGCACGACAGGGAAGGACCACAGAAAGCTGGCCAAGGAATCCAGTCCTGGACTGCAGGACAGCCAGCTGGCAGCTGAGCTGACCAGGGAGCTGGCTTCCCAATGGTGTGCAGATGGTGAGACCTGGCCCACCAAGCAGCCAGTGTCTGCTGCTAGATCCTGCCCCAGGGAAGGGCAGGCCAAATCAGAAGCAAATGCCTGCCGGCCTTTTTCCCAGCTGGTACTGGGGAGACGCTGATGGGGAGTGCTGAGTGCAGCAGCCTCATGCTGACGACGAAGCTGGTTGGCTCTGAGCTCTGCTGAAGGACAAGTAGAGGATGGCTGTGAGAGAGAAGCTGAGGCTTGCCTACCCTGAAAGACCAAGAGCATCAGAGATGTGACGGTGCTGTGGACACGAAGGAGAAAGATTGTGCATGTCAGACCCTGACTTGGACCTGTTCATTCACACATTTTTTGCCTTCACTCAGGAGGGTTACCACAGCTGCCTGCAGCATGGCCGACCCTGTGCTCAAAGGAGGAAGCAGACCAGGGTGGTCCCCTTGCCTGAGCCCTGCCCTCAGGATTGGAGACTAAGCTCAGATCTGTGTGGCTCTGTAACTAGTCTTTTGCAACCCTTTTCCTGCTGCATCCAGCTGCTGGAAAGGGCATCCAGTGTGTCTGCTGTTGGCAAAGGCAAGTTCAGAGCACTTCTCACCCAGATTCATTTCCCTCAGTGCCAAGGAGAAATGGATTCCTGGGGAAGTGGGTACAAGCCAAGGAGGAAAAAGCCTTCCTTGCTACTCCCCTAGGACGCCACCTCTGGCCTCTGCAGGTTTGTGGGGTTCAGCTGATGCGCAGACTTGGGACAAAGGAGATCCTCCCCCAGGAGTTTGATGCTGTTTGGTCTCTAGAAATAGAACCATGTTCTTAATGCAGTAAAGTAAAAGTGTTAGGTGTCATCCTGTCTATCTGTAACCTAAGCTCCCAGGAGGTGCGTGCTCCTGTTCTGCTCAGGAGGTTTGAGAACTAGGTCTGCCAAACAGGTGAGTGCTAGCGCTGGGATTTGAACTCCTACCTCCTGGCCGCTGGAGCGTGGGTTTGCCCCAGGCCTGCTGTCTGAGCTAACGAGGGCAGTGCTGTTCTGGCTCCTCAGGGAGTGAGCCAGGCAGGGGTGGGGCTTGGGTGGTAACTGCTTGAGGCTTGGGTCACAGGTCAGGGGCCTTGTCCCCCTCCCCCCAGCTGGTTGGTTTTATTTGGCTTTATTTGGTTGAAGGATATCTTTAGCATGCCTCTTTCTCATCTAAAGACTTTACTCATCCTCCCAGGATCGCCTGCAGCCTGAAAAACTGCTGAGGAACAAAGCCGGGCTCTGTCCACTATGGTCACTGGGTCCCACATCCTCCCCTCTGCTGGGCAGAGGCTCTTAGGAGAGGGCTGCACTTGCAGAGCTTCCTGTCAGGGTCCGCCACCCTCTTCATATCCAGCTCTGCCCTCAGGTGTCCTGAGGACTGCTGTGGCCCCGAGTGTTGTCCCACAGGGCTGAGGCACTGTACTCTTGGACTTAGGCCATCTGACCCTGGCTTTATTCCATGTGACCCTGACTCCTGGGGGTGAGGCATGGAGATTGTTCTCTCAATGCCCAGGCTTCTTTTGATGGGAGTTGGCTTGGGAAGAGTTTGGGAGTCTTTGAACTTCAGGAGGAGCCCAGTGTTAAGATCAGAAAAACCTCCCAGCAACGAGGCAGAGAAGTGTCACAACCAGGTAGGCAAATGGCCAGTGCTAGGGCCGTCTTCACCTTCTGTGTCACATTTTCTGAGGCGAGATCAAATAGGGAAGCTCACAGTCTTCATCTTTTACACCCAGTCCCAGGTATACCGAGGCACTATCCCAAGTCAGATCAGTTAGAGCCAGCCTATCAGTGGGCCCAGTCAGGTCCCCACTATTGTCAGGCTTCCTGTGACGAGGCCTGCCTTCCAGTTCTCTCACCAGCCTGCAGACTCCCTCACATGCTCTCGTTGACAGAGTTGGCAGTGGTCACAGACTTGCCTGGAGAAGAGGCCCATCCAGAGGATCCCATCTACTGACTTTAAAAGGGAAACAATTATGTTCCCAGCACTCTGGATCCTCTTGTCACAGAGGGCTCAGCATAAATGCCAACCCTGGGAGAAGCCTGCCCCACTCGGCTCTGCAAACATGCTCAGCTTTCTTGCAGAAATTGACTGATGTGCCTAGGAGCTCTAAGGTCAATGTCCTGCGTATAGCAGTCCCTAGAGCTAATGAAGGGACAGATGTATGGCCTTGGGCAGGACATGGGAGATGAGTCAAGTTTTTCTATCCTCCAAGTGAGGATAAGGATGGCTTCCTAATAAGACTGCCCAACCAACATGGGCAGTCTTGCCGTGAGAGCTACGTCTACCGTGGGCCAAACTGAGACACCATGTCTAGTGGCAGCTCAGTCAGAACCGCCAGCTTGCACAGGTACTCGGCCAGTACCACCTGCAGTTCCATCTAGGAGCCCAGACGCAGGGCAGTGGCTTCCAAGCTGAAGTCCAGATGGATGCCTTTGGCCAGGCTCCCAAATCTTCCCCGTGACACAGGAATCTCACGATTCTTCCTTCTGGGTCCCTATTTGGAAACCAAACAAGAACACATCACTGCCAGCCCCCCAACGGGCTCAGCATGAGCATGCGCTTTGTTCCCACGCAGAGGTGACGCCAGCTCAGAGTACAGACAAGCTCTTGACATTTCAACATGCATGGGTGGCCTCGTCGAGGACAGACTGCCGGGCAGCCAGCTTTTAACACTGTTGGGCCACTGCCTGGGTCCATTTCTGCTCAGGGAAACTGCCTGAGCCAGACTTCTGTCTTTACTGTGTTGCTCTGGGAAGGCCCCGGGGCAGGAATGGGGCTTAAAGTGTCTTCTCCCACCCTCTGTGATGAAGCTCATGTTCTTGTCACTTTAGCAGAGTCACCCCATGGTCTGAACAGTGCTGAACTCAAGAACCTTCCATGGCTCCATCCTCCTGCCTCTCAGCATTGGCTGCGTGAGTCATTTGTCAGCCTGCTAGTCCCCCTCAGCCCTGAGTTCTGATCTACACAACTCAGTAGCCTAGGACCAACCTGGAAATATTTAGGAAACGTTAAGTGATGGAGCTAGATGGTACCACTGGCTGCCCTTCCAGAAGACACAGGTTCAATTACCAGCAACCACATCTCAGGTCACAGCCATCTGCAAATCCAGTTCCAGGGGATCCAGTGCTCTTTTCTATCCTCCTTGGGTACCAGGCATGCATGCACCAGGTGCAAAGATCTGCATGCCAACAAAACAAAGCATCCGTACCATACACTGAACTATTTTTGTTGGGATCCTGGGTGTGGTGATGCACACCTTTAATCTTGGCACTCAGGAGGCAGAGGCAGGTGGCTCTTCAAGGCTAACCTGGTCTACAAAGTGAGTCCAGGGTAGCCAGAGCTACACAGAGAAACCCTGTCTAGCAACCCCCCCCCCCCCCCCAAAAAAAAAAAAAAAAAAAGCCAGGCTTGGTAGAGCATGCCTCTAATACCAGAACACAGAGACAAGTGAATCTTGAGCTCTTAGTTTGAGGTCAGCCTGGTGTATATGGTTCCAAGACAAATAGGTCTACATAGAAAGAACCTGTCTCAAACCCCCCCCCCCAAAAAAAAAAATGGCAGGTGAGGACTGGAGAGATTGCTCAGCAGTTAGTGCCTGCGGCTCTTCCAGAAACAAGTTTTTTAGTTACCAGCACCCATGCCAAACAGCTCACAACTACCTTGTAACTCCAGCTTTTGGGAATCCAGTGCTCAATTCTGGCTTCTCAGGGGTCTATCTTCCCTACAGACATAATAAATATTTTTAAAATGCCAGCTAGCCAGGTGTGGTGGCACATGCCTTTAATCCCAGCACTTGGGAGACTGAAGCAGGCAGATCTGAGTTTGAGATCAGCCTGGTCCACGTAGGGAGCTCCAGGCCAACTAAGCCCAGATAGTGAAACCTTGTTTCAAAACAAAAGAGTGACAGTGATAGACAAAAACACAAGCTATCCAGAGCTAACCTCCCAAAATGTGGGTACTGAAAATACCTACAGGAACTTGCCACAGCCTGCCCAGAGCTTTGGGCTTGGTGGTAAGTCAGATGTTTTATTGCTTATTCTGATTATTTTCATATATTTGCCTGTCTGTGGATATGGACATGCCACAGCATACATGTGTAAGTCAGGAGACAACTTCTGGGAGTCAGTTCTGTCCTTCCACCATGTGAGACCTTTGAGTTAAACTCGGGTTGGGCTTGACAGCAAGCACCCTCACCTGCCGAGCCATCTCTCTGACCCCTCAAGAAACACAAAAGCAGGGCTGGAGAGATGGCTCAGTGGTTAGGAGCACTGTGCTCTTCCAGAGGTCCTGAGTTCAATTCCTGGCAACCACATGGTGGCTCACAACCATCTGTAATGGGATCTGGTGCCCTCTTCTGGCATGCAGATAGGGTATTCATACATAAATAAATCAGAAAGAAAAGAAAAAAAAGAAAGAGAAAATCTCTCCTTTTCACGTAAATTGGTATGCTGGGATGAATATTGTGCTAAACCTATAGGTTAGCCTACCACACTCAACCCATCACTTGCCTATGAGGCCCAAAACCTCAGGACCCTGGTGAGGCCAATCAAATGGCAATTGCTGAGTTCCAGGTGGCTGCTGGGAGCTTGCAGTGCTTGACTCAAGTCAAAGCTGAGTGAGGGATCTAGAGGCCATTCAGGCTGATGGCAGAAGACAGCCTCACAGCTGTTTGTGGACTTTGGAAGAGTTGTCTGTGGGAATGAGCAGGTGCACACTAGCCAGTATTAACTGGAGAAAGCCTTAAGATGTTGGTCCCAGCCTGGCTGTACACAGCCAGGGCCTTTGGAAACCAAGAGAGCGTTGTTAAAATTACAGGTTTCCTGGCTCTACTTCACATCTGCAAAGCAGAGAGAACACTGGTTTAGCGAGACCCGGGAGCATCTGCAGGTGCATAAGATGGCCAAGCAGGAACTGGAGAGATGGCTCAGCGGTTAAGAGAACTGGCAGTTCTTCCAGAGGTCCTGAGTTCAATTCCCAGCAACCACATGGTGGCTCATAACCATCTTAATGGGGTCTGATACCGGAGCCTGCCAGCAGAATCAAACAATTCCTGAGTGGGGCGTGAGGATTGAAAGAAAATTTTAAGCCACGCTACACATGGGATCTGTTGGAGAGGGCTGGCAGTAGAAACTGTCAGACCAGTTTATTCATAATCCCTTTTCATAGTCAGAACAAAGCACCTCAGTGCCATGAAGGAGTTCATAGAGAAGTCAGACTTGTTTACCTCAATCACCTGTCTGTGTGATCCTTACATAAACAAAAGGAAGTGAACTTGGCAAAACATCCTGCTTATTCTTGCCTCCAAGTGAAGCCAGGGTGAAAACATGTTTTTTTGCTGAGAGCTCAGTAACAAAGCAGCCTGACAAACAAGTGGCTCTCCACAGTCTGAATCCCTCTATTAACTTTCAGGTGTCCATGCAGACAGAGCATTCATATAAATAAAAATCTTTTTAAAAAATGAAGAGGAAGGAAGAAGAAAGAAGGCCGGGAAGACAAGTGCATGCCTTCTTGCCTGCCATCTTGGTTTGGTGCTCAGGATTTCTCCTGAATGATCTTGGATAATGTCCACCAACCACAATGATGGCTATCTTATTTCTAAAGGTAAATTAAAGGCCAGAACACAGATTTGTGACCAGCCCAAGTTACATAGTGAAACTCTGGGGTCCTTGAGAGATGGCTCAGTGGTTAAGAGTACTGTGTGCTCTTTCAAAGGACCTGGGTTCAATTCCCAGCAACCACATAGCAGCTCACAACTATCTGTATTGCCAAGTCCAAGGGATCTGACACGTTCACACTAATGCACAAAAAATAAAAACAGTGAAGCTTTG